CGCAGCCTCGACCTGCTGGGCTCTGGTGATCCTTCCGCCTCAGCCTTCCAAGTAGCTGGAAATACAGGCGCGCGATACCACACCTGGCTAATTTTTTTTATTTATTGTAGAGATGAGGTCTCACCAAGTTGCCCAGGAGGGTCTCGAACCCGCGGGCTCAGGCAATCCACTCACCTCAGCTCCCAAGGTGCAGGATTACAGGCTGAGCCACCCAGCCCGGCTTATATTTTTTAAAATATGGAACGCTTCACGAATTTGCATGTCATTCTTGCGCAGGGGCTATGCTAATCTCTGTATCATTCCAACTTTAGTATATGTGCTGCCGAGGAGAGCACAACAAATATTTAATAAATATGCTTAGAGCAAATCTGAGTCCCGTGTAAAATATACTATGACATTCTTATAATGTATATTACATTGTGGTTGAATAACTTTTTTTTTTTTGAGTCGGAATCTCACTCCATCACCCAGGCTGGAGTGCAGTGGCACACTCATGGCCACCCCAGCGTCGACCTGCAGATGATCCTTCTGCCTTAGGCTTCTAAGTAGCGGGAACTACAGGCGCGCTACCCTGCCCAGCTAATTTTTTGATTTATTGTAGAGATGAGGTCTCTCCAAGTTGCCCAGGCTGTTCTCGAACCTGTGGTCTCAGGCAGTCCCCTCACCTCAGCCTTCCAAAGTGCTGGGATTACAGGCTTGAGTCACTACACCTGGCCGAATAACTTTTCAAAAGGAAAGACAATTATGAATATTTGGAGTGATAAATGAAAACCATGACCACCTCTCATTAATTAAATAAAACCTAGCAGTGTAAGGTAAAACCTGGGAAACTTTTAAAAATACCAATTTCCTTACCCTACCTCAACTAAATCTGGACCTCTAGGGGGTGGGACCTTTTTAAAAAGCCCTCCAAAAGTGATTTTTTTTTTTGAGTTGGAGTCTCACTCTGTCGCCCAGACTGGAGTGCAGTGGACGCTCCTGGCCACCACAGCCCAACCTGCTGGACTCCTGTGGTCCTTCCACCTCAGCCTTCCAAGTAGCTGGAACTACAGGTGCGCGCTACCACGCCCGGCTAATTTTTTTTTTTTTTTTTTTCCGGCTAATTTTTTTTGATTTATTGTAAAGATGAGGTCTTGCCAAGTTGCTCAGGCGGGTCTCGAACCCACGGGCTCAGGCAATCCACTCACCTCAGCCTCCCAAAGGCCACGGGATTACAGGCTGAACCACCGAGCCCGGCTTCAGAAGTGATTTTAATGTGCATGCTGGGGTGGAGCCCACTGAACTAGAATTTATTGGATAATGCTGTCTTCCTCTTATTTAGGGGAAGCACAGTGAGATTCGGCCTTTTACATTTAACTCATTTTACAGAAAAAAAGAAATTAAAGCCCCCATAAAGACAGCACTTGGCTCTAGTGGTAATTCATGTTATTATTCACTAAATGCTATCATTCCAGCTGAGCCCTATGTCTACTTGAGCAAATGGACACCTGTCTCTTTTTATTTCTGTGCACTTGTACATCACTCCTTATATGGTAGAACCCATTCACAGGTTATTTTCCTAAATAGCTTTACAGATTTGACACATAATGAGGGAGTTAAAAAAAAAAAAAAAAGATTACTGATGCCAGTTGGGGTGAGGTGTGGTGTGTTGCTCCGTGGGTTCTTTGATTTCACCACAGAAAAGTATTTCAGGATAGTCCCAAGTATAGTTTAAGACAAAATTTATTAGAAAGAGGCATGCTCAAGAGTGAGCATGGGTCCCTTAAGAGAGGGCATGTGCTTGACTTTAACAAGCTTTGCATACTTTACAACCACTATTAAGCAAACTATGAGCTAAGAGTGGTGGGCTGCAGGTATCTGGTCACGATTACTGTTATCTCCACCTTCTATGAGCTAAGAAGGTGGGCTGCAGGTATCTGATCGAGTTTAGATGACCATCTCTCAACCCTTTAAGGTCACAAGGACCTTTTAAATAATTAAACTTATTGCTTAACTAGATTTGGACTTCTCTTAGAACATCATGTCTGTGTTTTGGGTAACTCTATGATTGTACTGTGATTGTACTGGTGGATCATAATCCAGCCCACAATGTGGTCAGGTCTGGTGTGCCTAGTTGATTAGGTGGCGGTCTTGCCCGATAAGACAGATGTCTGAATGCTTATTCTATTGTTTTAATTTAAACTGCCTACAAGAAACTTATCTATGTCTAACGTGCACTAAATAAGCTGCCTCATTTATTAGGAATTGGAAAAATTTAGAAGGCATATAGCAGGTGTTCAAGAAAGTTCTCAAACTTTTATCCCCATTATAAGGATGAACTTAGCTGCGTTCGAACTCAGGTCTACGGGACATTAACTGATGTAGGTAATTTAGAAAAACTTTAATCATACAAGACTTTCTTGGAAGTCTCGTTTTGCAGGTTGTTTGTTTAATAACACCAGCGACACTTTTAGGACTTGGCACAGGCAGCTGGTGGTCCTGACCTGAGGACGTCCGCTACGCAGCTTGGATACGCCTCGGTTTCCCTTCCCAAGCTGACTTGCAGTCACTCATGCTGCAATAAAAATGAGGATTCTCCCTATCCCCACCCAAAACCAACCTTGTGAGAAAGCTCCAGCTGCGACAGCTACCGGCCCGCCATCCCCGCGGCCACGCACCCTCCCACCTGGCGCCTACCCAGGGATTGTTTCCGCTTCTCGACACTTTCCCTTCCGGGTCGGATCCCCGTCGATGTTCCGGTCTTGCGCACTAGGACCCGAGCGCCGCGCCCGTTTCCATGGTAGCGGGCGGCCAGGAGCCGGAGGGGCTGGCCGGCGACGTAGGGTCGGTGTCCCGCTGCCCGCCTGGGACTGCGCAGAGCCAGGCCCGCGGAATGGGCTGAGGCGGCGGCGGCTGCTGCGACAGAGTCGACAGCGGGGCGCGAGGCGCGAGGCGCGACGCCGGTCCGGATCCTAAGACGTCCGGTTTGAGGAGCGGGCGGGGACTAGGCTTTTCTGGGGCCGGGGGCTTGATCAGTGGGCGATTTCAGTCGTGCGGGGACCTCCTACTCGAGGGAGCATGACAGGAAGTGTGGGGACCCCAGGCTCTATGCATGGGGACATATAGTGCGGGAATCTCAGTGTTGATGGAGTGCCCCAGAGTTCTGGTGAGGGTTGGCGCCTCGCAAGGACACCCTGCTGCCAAGCTGGCAGAGCTCCCAAAGACAAGGCGCTCTGTGGGAAAGATCGCTAGGTTTTTGTTTTTTTGTATGTTTCTATATCTGAAGTATGGATTTACTGTGAATATGCATCATATCTAGCTTGAATAAATAAAAGTATAAACGTTTAACATTCTCAACTTTTTTTCTTTATTTATATGGAGAAATATAAGCTCGGCTTGAAATGGAGAAGTATGAAATTCTTGGAAAAGCAGGAGAGGGAAGTTACGGAACAGTCATGAAATGTAAACATAGGGATACTGGGCACATAGTGGCCGTTAAGATATTTTGTGAGAAACCAGAAAAATCTGTCAACAAAATTGCAATGAGAGAAATAAAGTTTCTAAAGGTTCGCTTCTTTTACCTTAATAGCTCTAAGTCAAAAGAAAAATTGTTACGGAATAAAAATTTGTATTAACGAATATTCTAGTTAAAACAGGGCCAGGCATGGTGGCTCAAACCTGTAATCTCAGCACTTTGGGAGGCTGAGGCAGAAGGATCATTTGAGGCCATTAACAACATATACTAAGATGTGAAAGAAAAAAAAAAAAAGTGCCGGGCTCGGTGGCTCAGCCTGTAATCCCGTGGCCTTTGGGAGGCTGAGGTGAGTGGATTGCCTGAGCCCGCGGGTTCGAGACCCGCCTGGGCAACTTGGCGAGCCCTCATCTCTACAATAAATCAAAAAAT